CACTAGTCGGTTTTGGGGGTGGAGTAGTGCATCCGGTCGGAAGCATAGATCTTCCGATCCGGCTGGGTGAAAAGGGGCAAGGACGCCACATGATAGTCAAGTTTTTAGTTGTGGAGGAGCTGTCCGCCTACAACATGATATTTGGCCGTCCTACCCTCAACGCATCTAAGGCTGTCATCATCCCGTCCCTCATGTTGGTCAAGTTTCAAAAGGATGATGGTACAGTCGGTGCCCTAAGCGGGGACCAGAAGACGGCAAGAGAGTGCTATCTCTCTGACGTCAAGACAACTATGGGTGCAGCCGGCCAGGGTGAGCCCATAGATATTGATAACTGCGACCCAGCAGTCCCGGCTCCAAGGGCAGCCGGTAAGAAAAGAAAGGTGGACCAACTGGCACCCGTCAAAAAGGAGAAATAGCAATCACTAGCCGGGGAAAGGTTAGATGACCAACGACCTCAGCCGGCTGGTGACTGCCTTGATGTCATCCTAGATGACAGCCGTCCCGAAAGAACAGTCAAGGTCGGGACGGTAGCCTTCGAACGGTTGGGAGAAGGCTTGCTCCAGCTGCTGAAGGAATTCAAAGACATCTTTGCCTTTGAAGTGGAAGAGATGCCAGGCGTCAGCCCGGATCTTGCTGTCCACAAGTTAGCCGTAGATCCCAAAAAGCAGCCGGTTAGGCAGAAAAAGAGGGATCATGGTGGAGAAAGATCTCAAGCGGCAGCGGCTGAGGTCAAAAAGTTGTTGGATGCTGGGTTCATTAGGCAATGCTACTACCCGGATTGGGTGGCAAATGTCGTTCTAGTAAAGAAGCCGAACGGTACTTGGCGGATGTGTGTGGATTACACAGATCTGAACAAAGCATGCCCAAAAGATAGCTACCCGCTTCCAAAGATTGACAGCCTAGTCGACTCAACAGCCGGCCATGCGCTAATGAGCTTTATGGATGCCTATTCCGGCTTCCATCAAATACCCCTCTGGAAGAAAGATCAGGAGAAGACAGCTTTCGTCACTGATCAGGGGTTATTCTGCTATACGGTGATGCCGTTTGGGTTGAAGAATGCACCGGCTACATTCCAGCGCATGATAAACACCGTTTTTATCAACCAGATTGGCAGGAATGTAGAGGCGTATATCGATGACATGATAGTCAAATCCAAGCTACAGACGGATCACCTAGCAGACCTGCGAGAAACCTTCACCACACTCAGGCGGCACCGGGTCATGCTTAACCCACAGAAATGCGTATTTGGTGTTGAGTCTGGGAAGTTTCTCGGATTCTTGATTGACCAAAGAGGCATTGAAGCTAATCCGGAAAAAATACAGGCGGTAATTGACATGAAGTCTCCCCGCACTGTAAAAGAGGTCCAGAAGTTGACCGGTTGCCTGGCGGCATTGGGGAGGTTCCTCAGCCGGTCAGGTGACAAGTGCCTCTATTTCTTCCAGGCAATCAGGAAGAGGTCAAGGTTTGAATGGGGTGAAGAAGCAGAGGCGGCATTCCAGAGGCTTAAGCAGCACTTGCATTCTTTGCCAAGGCTAGTGAGCCCCCTACCCCGGGAGGTTCTGTACATGTACCTAGCCGTCTCTGATCACGCCCTTAGTGCCGTTCTCCTCGCTGAGAGAGACGGCATTCAGCTGCCGGTGTACTTCATCAGCCATGTCCTTAAAAATGCTGAGCTCCGGTACCCCATGATCGAAAAATTTGGGTTGGCCTTATTCGTAGCAGTCAAGCGGTTGAAGCCTTATTTTTTGGCACATCCGGTTGTGGTATACACAGATCAGCCGCTCAAGCGCACGATGACTGCTATAGAGTCATCCGGTAGAATGATCAAGTGGGCTGTTGAAATACAAGGCCTTGAGATAAATTTTGAACCCAGGCGGGCAGTGAAAGGTCAGGCGTTTGCCGACTTCATTGTCGAGATGACTAGGCCGGTGCAACCGGAAAACCCTGATCAGGTCTGGAAGTTATTTGTAGACGGCAGCTCTACGGTGAACGGCTGTGGTGCAGGTGTTATCTGTCATTCCCCGGAAGGAGATAAGTTTGAATATGCACTACGGTTTAAGTTCCAAGCCTCCAACAATGAGGCAGAGTATGAAGCCCTGCTAGCCGGAATGCGCATGTGTAAGGCAGCCGGTGCAAGAAAGGTCGACGCCTGCTCAGATTCACAGCTGATCGTTAGCCAATACCTTGGCGACTACGAAGCCACCCATCCGGCTATGATCAAATATTTGCAGGCGGTCAAAGAGGAGGCTGGGTCCTTCGATGAATTTCATCTGCGACAGGTGCCCCGGTCTGAAAACAATCAGGCGGATGCCCTCTCAAAGTTGGCATCATCAGCCTCCTGTGATGCTCCTAGGACGGTCTTTTGGGAAGTCATTGAAAAACGAAGTATTCAGAATGATCCCATTGGAGTCCTGGACAGAAGTGCTACCTGGATGGATCCCATCCGGTCTTTTTTGACGGATGGTACCTTGCCGGATGACCCTTCAGAAGCATCAGCGCTCAAGAAGCGTGCTTCAAGTTTTGTTATGCATCAAGGGGAACTCCTCCGGAAGGGATACCTGCAGCCGTTTTTGAAATGTGTAACCCCGGATAGGGGGAGAGAAGTTTTGGAAGATCTGCATGCGGGGTTTTGTGCCTCGCATATTGGCGGCAGGTCCCTGGCCAGAAGAACCAGGCGGCAAGGGTACTTCTGGCCCACTCTTGAAGCGGATGCCATGGATCTAGTAAAGAGATGCGACAAGTGCCAAAAATTCGCTAAGTTGATACATCAACCGGCAACAGATCTCACGGCAATCCATAGTCCGGTTCCGTTTGCTAAATGGGGCATGGACATTTTGGGAGCTTATACGCCTGCGACAGGCGGCCGCCGCTACATTCTTGTAGCAGTAGACTACTTCACCAAATGGGTTGAGGCAGAGGCGGTAAAAGGGATTAAAACGAAAGACGTGATTTATTTCATCTGGAGAAACGTCATCACCCGGTTCGGGGTTCCAATGTCCATGGTTTTCGACAACGGGCCGCAGTTCGAAACGCCTATCCTGAAGACCTGGTTGGGAGACCAAGGAATTTCCCATTATTTTACATCCGTTGGCCGTCCTCAGGAAAACGGTCAAGTTGAGGCTTTTAACAAGTTGATCTCAGACGGGATAAAGAAGAAAGTAGAAAGAGCCGGTGGACTATGGGCAGAGGAATTACCTCATGTCCTTTGGGCTATCCGGACAACCGAAAAGGGGGCAACCGGTGAGACCCCATTTCTCATGACATACGGCACTGAAGCGGTTCTTCCCATTGAACATTATGAGCCTACTCTACGCATTATGTTATATGATGAAGAGGCTAACTGGGAAGCCATGCGGTTGGCATTAGACGCTCTTCCAGAGCGAAGGGGGAATGCTGCCTTGCGTCATGAGATCTATCGTCTGCGTATGACTAGAGCCTACAACAAGCGGGTTCGTAAAAGACCTTTGAAAGAAGGAGATTTTGTGCTTCGCAAAATGGAGGCAACCGGTAGGGCCAATGAACAAGGCAAATTAACCCCAAATTGGGAGGGACCCTACCGGATCTTTGAAGAAGTGCGAGACGGCACTTACCGCCTGGAAACTCCAGACGGAAGAAAGTTGCCTAGAACTTGGAATGTAGATAACCTCAAAAAATACTACTTCTAAGTATTGTACATCTTTTGTAAATTTTCAAATGATGAGAATTACATTCAATTTTGTATACAGCCGCCATGTCTTGTGCCTACCACAAGCGGCACCAGTAACTAATTTTTGCATCCGGTGACACCCATACGGGTGAATTCATCGAAGAGAACATCTCCCATTTGGGTGGTAAATTGTTCTAAGCGATCACACAGGCGGACAAATCCGCCTGACGATCCCTCGCACCAAAAAAAAAAGGGCAGGCTAGCAACCCCAAACTTGCAGCCGGCCCACTTTTTGGAAGTACCACTAAAGGCTGTTTCCAGAATTCAGCCGGTACTCAATACCGCCGCCTGACTCTCTAAGAGCAGGCCTAAAAACATTTGGTCTAGGCCATAATTCATTCAGAGGTATGCTTGCAAAAGCCCAACCGGTGAATGGACATCCTAATCTGGCGTGATTCCTTTGCGAAGTCCCGACCGGTAATTCAGTATAAACCGACTGGCTGCCGAATCTAATGTTGGCACTTAGTGTATATATTCGTGCTATATCATATGGATAGCAGCCTGGCTTGCAAAGACCCAGACCGCTATCCAGGGGCAATTACGCAGACGCCATCCGGTTTGGTTTTGGGTCGGAATTTCTTCGCCTAGTTTGCGAAGACCCAGACGGCAGTGTTACCGGTGGGGTCCTCTTGGCAACCCTAGCAAATTTCTTCGCCTAGTTTGCGAAGACCCAGACGGCAGACGCCATCCGGTTTGGTTTTGGGTCGGAATTTCTTCGCCTAGTTTGCGAAGACCCAGACGGCAGTGTTACCGGTGGGGTCTTCGCGGCAACCCTAGCAAATTTCTTCGCCTAGTTTGCGAAGACCCAGACGGCAGTGTTACCGGCGGGGTCCTCTGGGCAACCCTTGCAAATTTCTTTGCTGTCTGTGAAGACCCAAGCGGCAGTGTTACCGGCGGGGTTCTTTTGGTTATCCTCGCAGAAATATGTATAAAAGAAATAAAAAGCAGAGTGCATTCAAAAGCCGGCTCAGCCGGTGAAAATGTTAATATTCAAAATAAAAATTATTACAGCTTAGCCCATCTCATCCGGCGCTATTACAAGATAATGCAAGGCGCGCAGGCCGGGAGGTAGTTGCTACTCCAGGCGAACAGTGACCCGATCCTCTTCCGGTTGGTTCTGGTTTGGATCAGGGTGAGCGGCTGCGTCGGCTTCAGGAACAACTTCTTCCTCTTCAGCAGCCTCCGCCTACCTTCGCGCAATCTCCTCCCTAACCCAAGTATCATAGGGTCCGGGCCCCGGCTCATTCGCCTCCTCGGCCAGAATGGCAAGATCAGAATATTTGAAGGCGAGTTCTCAGACGGTGAAGTCCGTCTCCGGGTGGATGAGGGAAAACGCCCGTCGCATCCGGTTTGCACAATCAAGCTCATTCTCCTCAATGAGCCTGTCCTGCTCCGCCTCCAAGGTGGCCTTGAAGTTCTCATTGGCAGCAGCCGCCTCTTTGCGCAGGCGCTCATTCTCTTTGGCAAGGCGGCCATTTTCAGTCTCCGCCTTGCTCAGCCGTTGGAGGGGCTCTTTCTGTTCCTCCAACTTTTTATTGGCATCATCCAGGGACGCCTGCAGTTGGTCAACTTGGTTTTTCAGTTGATCAATCTGCTGTTGGAGGGCCTTGGTCTTCTCCGCCTGTTCCATGCGTATAGATTTAGATTCTAAGCCATGCATGTACAAAGAGTAGTCAGCAACATTATGGGCGTCATCAACAGCCCGTTTGCTTCTCCTTACCTCTTCAGACTTGCGGGTATAAGCTCGTTTGAGCCCCTCTACGCGCAGCATAGCCTGCAAAAATACAGCCGGTTAATACTGCATATTTAAAAATGCACGTCAAGAAAATTACCGCATGGTTGTTGGAGCATACGTCGGCCAGGTCGACCAGCACCCGGTCGGCATTAAAGGAGTTGATCCCAGGGATCGCCTCCTTCTCGTCCCTGGGGACGGCTTTCAGCATGGCCCGGGCATATTGTGCCCCGTCCGGCCAGCGGGGAGAATTATCTGCACCAGAAACAGACGGTGAGAAACTCACATATGCTCTGCCTATAGATTGTCGGCTGATTGGAGAATCCCCCGGCTGCGATCGAGACTGTGAATAAGACTTGACCCACATGGGCAGGTCAAACAGTGTAAGGTCGAAGTTACCTTGGCGGCCCGAACGGCCTTCAGAGGGACCGGTTGCGGTCCTCAATGGGATGGCAGAAAGCACATCCGCAGATCCAGGCCCGCCTGGGACCTTTATTGATTTGCCGCCGGTAGTTTGACGGTCGGCTGTCTTCTGCACCTTGGATGCAGACTCTTGTTGGGTCGGCGGAGGCCTGACCTATTTTTGAAGGGACCGGGGCATCTGCTTCCCGTCCTGTAAACGAGAAAAATATAAGTCCTGGGATAAAAGGATTGAAATAAACGAGAAGGATCAGACGGTTATACCTTCCTCGCCGCCTGGGCAGCAAGTTTTTTCTCGAGATTGGCTTTCCGGATGTCGGCAGCCGACCTAGCCGGTGTCTTCTCGGTGGGCAGCATTTTCTTGGCTTCTTCTGCAGAGGAAGGCACACGGTTAGAATAATAAACAAGCAAGGAAATAAAAGCATCCGGTTCGAAAGAAACCGGCTGAGTTCCGAATACATACGTTTTTTAAACATGCTGCTTAGACCACAAACGGACAAGAAGCATTCGTCCCTAAAAAATTCATGTTTGGGCACCCAGTTTCTAGGTACCCTTACTATCTCTCCGGATGAGAGGGTGTCAGGAACTAACTCAAAAAACCCGGAGTCAAGGATGGTCTCTCTATCATCCTCCGGGACAGGGGGCAGGCAGCACTTTGTTCCCAAGAGTTCTGGTTTCCGGTTGTAGATCCGGAATTCTCTGTTCTCTGCCGTAGTTGGGGCCTTAACCAAGTAGAACCGGTGCTTCCAGTCCGACCATTTGGATGGCTTGTCCAAGGTCATAAGGTATTTGGGCTGGGTGGTCAAGGTATACCAGGCTCTCCAGCCGCCTGGGCTCCTACTCAAGTAATGCATATGGGCAAACGCCTCCCAGCCGGGGTTGAGGCCCTGCATCTCGCAGGCGGCGATATACCCTAAAATATTTACCCATGAGTTGGGGGTTAATTGCCAGAGACCCAGGCCATACCCCCTAAGTATGGCTTTTATTGTGTCGTGGAGAGGGAAGCGGACTCCGGCCAAGAAGGCCGCCTCGTAGCACCCGAACCAAGCGTTCGCGTTCGGTTGTTCATCCTCCCACCATATTGTTCCCAGAGCAGCCGGGATTTTTATTGAATAGTCACCCCCCAGCGGCCGCCGTTTGATAAAATCCGGCAGCGCAGCCCGCATGAGCTCGCGGTCCTTAGAGGAGACGGCGATCATGAGAGGATCGTTCCTATTATCCCAAGAAGGCCTCTCCGCCTCCTCGCTATCCTCAGATTCGGTTAAGTAGCTGCTACTGCTACTTTGAACGCGACCGGCATCAGAGCCGGCTGGGGAGTTGGAGACCTCCTTATCAGAGCCTGCCTGCTCTCTGGTCTCCTGGAGGGGAGCAGTCTCCTCATTTAAAATGCTATCACCAGGGGTGCTAGGAGCGCCGCCGGGTGAGCCTCTCTGCTCTACCTCTCCTTGCTCTACTTCACCGCCTGAAGCTGGGACCTCAGGCGGCTGCTCATCTGAGCTCCCACTTCTGTAGTTGGGATCTCTGGCAGTAGACCGGATTCTGGCCATTGTGTCCTGCACAGACACAGAGTCGGTCGATATGGGTGTTGAAAAAGGGTTGTCCCAAAGAACAGAGGCGGCACACCCAGTTCTAGACTCAGCCGTACTAATAAACCGGCTGAGTTCACAGCTAGGTTCCGGATATGGGTATAAGGGGTCCATCTACTTATGGGACCAATGAACAAAAATGCGAGTAAAAGACTCAAACGGAAATACATGAAAAAGCTAGAAAGAATAGAGACGGTACCTAGAAGAAAATCTGGAAATTCTTTGGGATGCTTGCGAAGACGCAGGCGGTTCAAAATCCGGCTGGGTTTCTCTGATTACCCTCTCGAAAACCTTTAGCTAGCTTGCAACGACCCACACGGTCTGCAGACCGGTTGCTCTCAACGAATCTCAACTCCGAATGCTCTCAACTCTCAAATTGCCGGCTGCTCTCAAATTTTCAGAAATTTGGCAAAGTTTGTAAATGAGAGCTCGGGGGACATCTTCTCCTATTTATAGGATTTGTCCCAGAAGGTGAAGAGTCGTGACTCTTCGCCTTCTGCTTTTCCATCCTTAAAAAAGAATCTGAAGAGTTGTAAAAAAAAATAAAAAAAAAAAAAAAAAAAAAAAAAAAAAACCTTTCACCGGCGCCACGTGGCACCCTGCCACGTCAGCACCAGTGAGGGGCAAATGTTTGGGGTAAAAATACCCTAAACACGTGGCCCAATGGCCTAGTGACACGTGGCATCCAGCCGTTGGTCAGCAGGGCTCCAATCCTCTGCTGACACGTGTCCTCTAAACCCTAAAAGGAGAACCATCCCTTCCCCACTATAAATAGTGGAAGGACCCTCATTAATGGGGGGCGGAGCATTTATTATTCACATTGAATACTCCTCAAAAAGAAAAAACACTTCCCCCGAGCAATATTAATTGCGGAATTCTCCAATTACGCGAGAAGTAACTTCTACATTACGTGCATCCTACCTCCCGTATCTTTACTAACTTGATCGTCGGAGGCGGAGCTCCTACTTCCAGGAGTCTTCGTGATTTTGCAGGCACAGGCGTCGAAGGGCATTCTTGGAATTGTAACTCTCCCGCAGGACACATCAAAAAACCCCGAAACAGTGTTCTTGCGCGGTTGGTGTTGTCGGTGGTTGTTGCAGTGGTGATGTTGTTGCAAAGAGGAGTGATAAGGAGATCAAGAAGAAAGAGAAAGGTGGAAAAAGGAGGGATGAGAAGAGAAGAAGTTTGACAAGAGAAGGAGTAGGGATGAAGAGTGATAAGGCCGAGAAAGGGAAAGAAGAAGAAGAAGAAAAGGCGGAGAAGAGGAGAGGGAAAGAAAGAGAAAGAAGAGAGGAGAGAGAAGAAGAAGAAGAGGGGCGGGGAGAGAGAATAGGAGAGGAAAGAGAAATAGGAGAGAGAATGGGGGGGTTTTGTCTTTTTAGGATTTAGGTTTTTTTTTTTTTTTTTTAAATATAAAATTCCGTCGGAAAAAGGTTAAATTCTGTCGGAATTTTCCTACGGAATTAAAAACCTTAGGAAATTAATATGTTCCGAGGGATTTATTTTCCCTTGGAATTTACAGCTTTTGACTAAATTTTCGTCGGGAGACATTTTCCGAGGGAATATTCCGTCGAAAGCAGTAAATTCCGAGGGAAAAAAAATCTGTCGGATTATTTCCGAGGGATTTTCCGTCGCAACTTATCTTTTCTGACGGATATTTCTGACAGACCAAAATTCCGTCGGAATTTTCGAATTCTCCGACGGAATTTAAGTCCGTCGGAACGATTTCGTCGGAAAACGGCCTATTTCTAGTAGTGGAAGGAGGCGAGAAACTGAGAAAGAGAAGGGGAAAGAGAATAGGAGAGAGAAAGAGAAACCAGAAAGAGAAGAGGAGAAAGAAATAGAAACTAAAGAGGAGAGAGAAACCAGAAAGAGAAGGGGAAGAAGAAGAGGAAAGAGAAGGGGAAGGAGAGAGAAAGAGAAACTGAGAAAGAGGAGAAAGAGAGGGCGGGAATTAAGAAGGGGAAAGGGAAGTTTTAAGGGTTTTTTTTCATTATTATTATAAAATAAATTTTCCGACGAAATATTCTGTCAGAAATTTCCGACGGATTTTATTTCCGTCAGAAATTTAATTTTCCGACGGAATATTCCGTCGGAAATTTAATTTTCCGGCTGAATAATTCGTCGGAAATTTCCGACGGATTTTATTTCCGTCGAAAATTTTTATTCCGACGGAATATTCCGTCAGAAAGCCCATATATTCCGACGGATTTATATTCCGTCAGAAATTTGCAACGGATTTCCTACGGAATAAAAATCCATCGGAATGTATGGGATTTCAGACAGAAATACGTGTCCGTCGGAATTTGTCCGTCGAAAATCAGCCTATTTCTAGTAGTGAGGGTTATGCGTGGGTGAGGGAATGATTTTCGGGTGGGAGGAGGGGCGGCGAGGGTCGGGAGATGGCGGCGACAATCAAGTGAGGGACGGCGACGTTCCGGCGAGAAATGGGTGAAGGTGGCTGATGTGGGTGCGGTGGTGGTTGGGGAAAGGGAATAGGAAAGGCTAGGGGGGTGGGGAATGGGAGTAGAAGGTTTTTCCGTAATCAAAGGGGAAAGGGAATGATAGAAATGGAAAAAAAAAAAAGACAACAACAAAGGAAATGATTCCCATGAAATCCCATTCCCTTTGATTATTACTGCGAACCAAACGGCCCCTAAGGCTTGTTTGGTTGACAACATAAAATGGGGGAAGTGAAAATTCATGGGATTTGATCAAATTGAGGAGCTGTTTGGTTGACACAAAAAAGCAAAAATGAGGGATGTGGAAATTCATGGAAATTTCAACTTCCCACAAAACAAGAGAAGTAAATTACCTAGCCCCCCTAGGTCAATCAAAATTCATGGGATTTCTAAATTCCCACATTGCCAACCAAACAAATTTAGGAAATTCCTAGGAATTTCATTAGGGAAATAGTTTCCCATAAAATGCAATTTCCTCTGGGAATTTAATTCCCATGTCAACCAAACAAGGCCTAATTTATCATTTTCAAATTTTTTTTATATTTGACAAGCATATTAGCTAGCCTAATACGTAGTATTAATGTAATTATGTAACTAGCTATCACTACTAGAATAGGTCGAATTTCGATGGACAAGTTTCGACGGACATAAATTTCCGTCGGAAAAATTAGAAATTCCGACGGATT